GACGATTTTTGAGTGTAAAGTTTAAGAATAGTTGATATAATTATTTGTAAAATACTGTCTGACTGTAATAGTGATTGAATTTGTTTTTCCTGCTTGTTGTTAGGTAATTCAGGAAAATTTGTGTGATTGAAAACATCAGCATAAGATTTTTTTTGATATTTGGCATTATTTTTTTCTATTTCTTCCTTCCTCTTAGGGCATTCAGATGATATGGATATGTGGTTACCTTTACAGAAAATGCATATAGCATCTTTTGTTGTTTTTGTGCATTCTTTATAGTAGTGATTGTCACCACAAATTGAGCATTTCTGCGCATTCTTGCAATATTTGCCTATGTGCCCATAACGAAGGCATCTTAAGCACTGGCTCACAGGAGGAATATATTGGCTTACCTCAAAAAACCAACTATTAATGTCTACGCTGTCAGGAAGGGTAGGACAGGAAAATGTAATGGCTACTGTCTGGGTGGGGATAAGGACAGGGTTGTCGTCTTCGTCACGCCCACGCCGCATCAGGCGGCGCACGGACACCACATCCTTGGAGCTGGAAATGCCGGTATATATATTATAATTGGACATATACGTAGGGACTCCACGAATTACTCCAGTGATCTCTGTCAGAGTGGCCGGTATATTGCACTTGAGTTGGAGCTCTGAAAGGGATTTGGTATTGTTCAAAGCCATGTTGGCTAAGCCTGGTCGTTCAAAAATGGCAGCAACTTTGTATCGATTAATTCGTTTAAATCGTTTTATTCCCTTATTATGTCGTTTAAGGACAGTACCAAGGGACATGAGATCTCTATCACCTATGGGCTTAGATTCTGTCGTACTTTCGTAAATGACGAGGTATTCAAAGTTGCCTCCGTCCTCAGGACATTGCCTGCAATAGTTTTCGATTTTATAAGGCTTATACTTATCGCTTTTATTTTCGTCTGAATCCGACTCCGAAGGAACCGGATCCCCGTTTAATTTCGGTTTCTTCCTCTTCCCCATTATTAACTACATATAAACTTATTTATTTATGTACAAAGGGCTATTTATATCAACTTATAAACTTATTTACAAAATATTTTACAAAAGTTTTTTTGGAGTATTCAAAAAACGCGCCTGGTCGTCTCAAAGGTTTCCCGCCTTTTTCCTTAGCCATAGATACTAGTTCTAGCTAAAGAGATTTTGTTTGTAATATTCTCCTTTTACGGGAAGGCAATGGATACTGAGTCCATACAGCCTCGTCTTAAGTTTTTTTTTTTAATTTTTTCCTTTTTATTTTTTATTGACATTAGAGTACGGGGTGAGTGTGACATATTCATATGTTTATTTATTTTTTATGTACAAATGTACAATGGCGGACTTAATGCCGTAGGCATTCTCTACCAGTCAACCATAGGATGTTGTGGAGATTATTAGTGGTGGGGTGCACAACTGAAGTGGAAATCACATTGAAAGATAAGTTTATAAAAATAATAAATATAAATAATAATATATAAATATACACATACATAAGTTAATATATTTAAATAAATACACAAATACATACATATTTCCAAAATAAATACAAAATAATGACGACAAACCACTCAATGAAACGCCTGTTCTAATAAAAAGCTTCGCAGTTTGGTTTTAAAGGTATATTTACTGGGGGACATTCTGATATCTAGCGGGAGATCATTCCACAAAAGTATCGTTTTTACGAAGAAGGAAGAGTGAATAATATCGGAGCAGTGTGATGGAACGATAAGTAAAAGATTAGAAGAAGATCGAAGATTTTTACTATGAGAGGTACATAAGTACTGAAATTGAGAAGTGAGATAGGGGGGAGCATTTTGAGAATCCATCACAGAGAACAGGGTGGTCAGAGCTCGCATACTTCTGCGCTGCCTAATGGGCATCCATTTTAAGAGAGATCGGTATGCGGACACATGGTCATATTTTCTCAGATTGAAAACGAATCGAATGCAGTTATTCTGAAGGCGATCAAGTTTGTTGAGTAGATCTGCATTAATGTCGAGGTAGCACAAATCACCATAGTCGATTATGGGAAATATTAAGGTTTGTACAAGCATTGCCTTGATATTGACCGGCAAAAATTTTTTCATTCGATAAAGGGCACGCAGGTTTCCTGTTACTTTTTTACAGACACTACTAACTTGGTCCTGCCATTTAAAACTCGAGTCGATATACAAGCCTAGATCTTTAACGACGTTGTTAAAAGGTATTGTAGTGCCGTCATGAATGATGGAACCAAGACTGTTGATGTCAATTTTGCTCATCATCCTTGACCCCCCTAGTAAAATGACTTGGCATTTTGAAGCATTAACCATGACCCCGAATTTTTCCGACCAGGTTTTAATAGCGACTAGGTCACTGTTTAGAGCATCAATGGCTTCGTTTAAATTGTCGATGCTTGCTTGAGAATATAATTGTAAGTCATCAACATATAGATGATACGAACACTGAAGATTGTGAGTAATAAAATCAATAAAAGTTGAAAAAAGAAGAGGATAGAGAATACCGCCTTGGGGAACACCAGTTTCAAGGTTGCGCCAGGATGAGGAATATTCCCCAGACCGGACCAACTGCTGGCGGTCCCGAAGATAAGAAGAGAACCAAGTCAACAAATCGTCAGAGACCATAAGATGGGATAGTATAGAAAGGAGAATATCGTGACTGACTGTAGTAAAAGCATTGGAGAAATCGATAAGTACTAAACATGTTACTTTACCGTTCTCCATTCCCGCCCTAATATCGCCAGTCACCTTTAAGAGCGCTGAAACTGTGCTATGTCCTGGCCTAAATCCGGATTGGAGGGGGTTCATCAATGAATTTTTGTGGACAAATTGAGATAATTGTTTGTGAACGCAGGCCTCTAGCACTTTTGACATGAAGGGGAGGATAGAAATCGGCCGAAATTCATGTGGCTGTGTTGGATTGAAAAACTTTGGGAAGGGTCCGTACATAAGCTTTTCGCCATAGCATAGGAAAAGTGCCGGTTTCAAGAGAAGAATTCATTATATGCGTTATAGCAGAAAGAAGAGGGTCAAGAATAGTAATGATCATGCGACGACTAATATCGTCACACCCTATCGCATTTGACTTAATGGAAAGTATTATCTTTTTAATCTCTGCCGGTGTGACTGGTGAAAAATGGAAGGGGTCGACGTTATGACGCGTAAACCATTTATGGAAGCAACAGTGCTTGTTGCAGAATCACGATCCAACTTAAAAGTTGTGGTGAAATGAGAATTGAGATCGTTTGTTGGCGAGTTTCTCGCAAAATGCATTGAGCCAGCTTTTTCGTTAAACACGCTTGATGAAATCGCGCCAAGCAGGATTTTTTTTTATTGGCTCGCACGGTTTGTGTTTCAGCCACGACAGGAAACCAAAAAATTTAAATTATTATCCTGATCAGATCACTCGTATTCGTTAGCACGAATGCGCCTACCCGCATATATGGGACGACATTTGCGAATGCCTTCGCTAAGTTTTCACTACATTCGAGCTTTTCTAACCTATGTCGGTTTTTAGCGCACATCAAATACGCAAATTGCTTAGTCTCCCACACATCAGGGGCATGCCCATGGCTTCAGAATAGGGTAAGCCCAAAGCTTCCAAAATTACTATACCTATCTTAATTTCTTGACTTGGCGAGCTTAAAAAATTTACGATTTGTATAAGATTTTATTTTATTTTGTGTTATATTATAATGATATTAAATTTTAATTAATCAGTAGTTGATAATTATCTAGAAAGAGAGGCAAGGATTTTATTTAAGTGCATGAGTTACCATTAGGTATACGATTATACCTATATACGTTGGTGTCGATTCTGGCATGATTATTTAAACTTAAAACTAAATCTAACATAAGTCTCTCCTTTTTATTCTGTTTAGAGAGTGACAAGGATACACTGTTGTCAAATTTAATTTTAGGTTTAGAGAATCATGCCAGAATCCACACCAGTTTAGTATATTTCTTGGGGTTCAAGATTTTTTTAATACATCTATTAAGCTCTTGCGATTTCAAAGCAATAGTTATTTCGATATTATTCAATTTAGATAGTCATAGCAGGTAAATTAATTGATATTATTGTGTTCAAATTTAGTCTACGAAATACTGATATTTTGGAAATTCAGATATCGATATTATCGATATCAGTAAATTTTAAATATCAATATAAATATCGTTATTTTGGTCTCAATATTATCGATATTCCGATTTATCGTTGCAACCCTCCATGTAGGCAATAATGTTATTTTATTATTCCTAATTTTGTGTTGTTCATGGTTTTATCTTTATTTATATATAATTTATCCTTATGAAAATAGTTCTGCATAATATGTTATGGGTACATAATATTTCAAAATACATATATATTAGGGTGGTCCTTATTTTTCAACTTTCGAATTATCCTCCGGGCACTTTCTTATTTGATTATATACCTCTAAATACGAAATAGGTGTTTTTTTGTTTTTGATTTTGTTAAGATTTAGAGGTCGCTACCAGCTGTCAATTTTTTACAAAAAGTGTTCAAATACAGCTTAAATGGTGATTCCATTAATTTAAAATTTAGGTACATAACATGTTACGTGCGAGTGAAACTAGCATAGACTATACCTTCTAATCCCCCTCCCCCCTCTCCGTTCCTCGACCCCCTCATTTGTACTACGATCGCCCCGCACTTCAGTTCTGTTAAGCAACAAGAGCGCACGTGTTGTTTTTGTAAAAGTTACAGTGAAGTGTTTCAATTTGCAATGGCGTCTACTAGTAGCGGATTCAGTATAACTACTAGAAATCAAAGTGAGATTTGGCTTATCGGTCAATTATTATCTGAATTAAGCCAATCAACCTTACCATCCATTGGCGAAGTGTTGCGATATTTTTTCTACTACAAAAATGAAGAAAAGAAAAGTATTCGTGAATCTGCGACTTTGACGGCTTGTGGGGTTATTAACTTGTGGGAAAAAGCTGGCATACCTATTCAATTAAAAAAACATGTCATCAGCAAAATTGAAAAGCTGTTCAAAGAATGGCAGAATCTAAAAAAAAATAAAGAAAACAAGAAAAAACGTTCAGAAGCATTGAAAAGAAAAGAACAAAACTGGCAACAAAAGTTAGAAGATTTATTTGACATCGCTCATCGTGATGCTTTAAATATTATGACTTTAGAAGAAGATAAACAGTTTTTGTTAGCAGTGCGGCAAAATCGACGCCAATTTTTGATTGGTTCAGTCGACAGAAAAAGTTTAAACAAATGTAAGAAAATAAAAGAGAAAAAAGAACGGCTTGATAAATTGCGCGAGCGTGAAAACAAAGATATCTCGTCTATAACAGAAAAATGCTCATTGTCTTCATTATCATTTATTTCGTCATCGTCTGCCACAACAAGTGGGGAAGTAACTCCATCTGACCCCGAATTTATATCAAAATTGACGAAGATGCAACCACCTCAAAAACGAGCTCGAAAAGATATTATTAACAGTCAATTAGCTTCCAGTCTTGATGTTTCTAAATTGAGTGACAGAAAAGCAACTATGGTCGTGACATCTACTTTGAAAAGCGCAGGCTGTGATCCATCAGAATTTAATGTCAATAGATCTTCTATTCGTCGGCAGCGTGTCAAAAATCGCAAAGCTGTTGCAGAGTCGCTCAAAAGCGAGTTTAAACCTAGTTCGTCTTTAACAATTCATTGGGACGGTAAACTTATAGAAGATATTACTGGACACAAAACTGTAGATCGGCTGCCAATTTTGGTATCAGGACATGGAGTCGATCAATTACTCGCCGTCCCAAAATTAGAACGTGGAACAAGCGAAGCTTGTGCGTCGGCTGTCTACGACGCTATAAATTCATGGAATTTGAGCGATAAAGTAAAATGTTTGTGTTTTGACACTACTGCTGTAAATACCGGCTTAAGAAGTGGAGTATGCGTTCTCTTGGAGCGCAAAATGGATAAAAATATGCTTTGGTTTGCTTGTCGTCACCACATAATGGAAATTATGTTGTCAGGTGTAGTGGATCAATCGCTTGCCCCATCTAGTGGTCCTGATATACAATTATTCAAAAGATTTAAGAACAGTTGGGACTCTATTGACCAAAGCGACTTCAAAACAATAACAGATGACGCTGAGGCAAATATTCTTGCAGAAGTGGCCGCAGACAGGATTTCTTTTGCCAAAAAGCAACTTCAAGTACATCAACCTCGAGATGACTACAAAGAAATGTTAAATCTTACAATCATATTCTTAGGAGGTGTTCCTGAAAAAGGCGTTTCATTTCGGAGACCTGCTGGTCTACATCGAGCTAGATGGATGGCAAGAGCCTTGTACTGTTTAAAAATTTATTTATTTAAGCATCAGTTAAAGCTAACGAAAAAGGACGAAAAGGCTGTGAGAGAAATATGTATTTTCACGGTGATGATTTATATCAAATATTGGTTTCAAGCCTCTACCAGTTAGTCAGCACCAAGAAACGACTTACAATTATTAAAAGACCTTAAAGCTTTTGAAAGTGTTAACAAAAATCTAGCTACTATTGCGCTGAAAAAGATTTTAAATCACTTGTGGTATTTGTCGGAAGAGCTGGTTTCGCTTGCATTTTTCGATGACGAACTTTCAGTCCAAGAGAAGAAAAAAATGGTAGAAGCACTCAAAATTGAAGGCACACATGATTGCTTAAAACGAATAAACCTTGACATGGCGACCATCCACGAAAAAAATATAGAAAACTTTGTGAGCAGTAATTCTTTAAAATTCTTCCAGGTCCTAGGTATCTCATCAGATTTTTTTTATAAAGACGTTGAAACCTGGAACGAAGACCCTGATTATATAGCTGCCAAAAATATTGTTCATTCATTGCGTGTAGTGAATGATATAGCTGAGCGTGGTGTTGCTTTAATGGAAGAATACAATAAATTAATTACCACAAATGAAGAACAAAAGCAATATTTGCTTTTGTTGGTAAAAGAGTATAGAAAAAAGTATCCCAATACTAACAAGTCAACCCTTGCATCTTAAAAGTAAATCATTCAGATTATTTTATTTCATAGCATCAACAAAAATTGTGTAATATTTTTAAGACCTGGTTAAAAAAAATAAAGGATTCTGAGAAAAACAAATTTTGGCTTTTTATTTAAAATTTAAACCTTGGTAGCGACCTCTAAATGTTATTAAAAAAATTCAAAAAAATTACTGTAATATTTTCTTAAGGTATATAACCAAATTACGTGGTGCCCCCCGAAATTAAAGAAAAAAAATATTTTCCTTAAGAATAAGGACCACCCTAATATATATATATATATATTCTCATTGTATTACCACAACCAAAGATTTGTATCGTCATCTTCAATATAGTTTACCGATGATCCATCTCTGTCTGCTCGCTTCCGGAAAAGAAACTATATCTCTATGATTTATTATCTTTCCTTTTTCTTCAAAATATATTCTATAACCTTTGACATTCTCCGAGCAACCGACAAATATTCCTATCTTATTTATCCCACTTTGATCTGTTTTCTTTAGGTATATAAACTGATACTTTTCTTCCAAAAACCTGAAACATTTTGACATCGATATTCTTCTTATAAGCTTCAAAAGGTGTCAAACCTTTGACTGCACTAGGACCTGAACTATTTATTATGTTTGCTGCAGTGTTCACTGCCTCTGCCCAAAACTTTTATGCATATTTTTCACCATCGACCTCGCTGCCTCTACCAATGTCCTCATGTCCCTCTCTGCCCTTTCATTTAATTGAGGGGTATATACCACTGATCTCTGATGAGTTACTCTATTTTGCTCCAGTAAAACTTTCAGTTCCGAATTTACATCTAATATGTGCTGTTTTCCAGGTAAACAATTTTGACACTAAAAATTTTCGCTATCGTCTTCACATTCTATATAATTTTTTTCCAAAAATTGTTTGACACTTCAAGTTTTGATGTGCTAATTTTTGTGCTATAAAACTAATCTTTTCTAAATTATTACTCATATGACAGTTCTCGAAATGTTCCGATACACATGTAGGTTTCGTTTTTATTTTAATCGTACAATGCGTTTCAGTTTTTATAAAGCATATTTTATATAGTTTATTGTCTTGTTCAGCTAAAGCACGCCCTTTTCCATTCATCATAAAGAGACACTGTTCACTGTTTAATACTAACTAGAAGCCATTATCAAGTACACAACCAACAGAAAATAAGTTCTATTTCAGTTCAGGCACATACATTCATTTGACAACACTCTGTTTTGCTGCGCCTCCGGGGTGTGTATACTTAATACTATGTTTATTTATTACTTTACTTTATGGTATTTTTAAGGTCCGGAATTGACTTAGCTGATTATGTAATGATCCACCGGTGCTCCAAGTCAGTAGTGGCCGCATAAGACACTACTGTCCGGAGCATCGGTAGGCATTGTAGTCTCTGAACCGGTGCACTTAGCATTGTCAGCGCTAGCACGGTAATATTATCTGTACGCGCTTAAACTACGCGCGGGAAATACGCAAACCGCCAAACACTGCCGAATGATCACGATGGCGGCCGACGGGCGTTGTCGGCAACAGTCGTTTTTTAATATAACGGCTCTTGAGAGAAGACAAGACACAGAAAATTTTACTCGCTTCGTTTGATTGCATATACATTATATTAATATTAGCAAACCTGTAATTATATAATAAATTTAATGGAAGATTAAATGCTTGCAAAGAAATCAAGATTGGGTTTATTATTTCCTGGAGTTAACAGGAAAAGTGGTGCCGTGACCAGGATTTTGACTGGAAGGAAGAATGCTGGTCCGGGACAGAATTTGGTGAGCCCGTTCCTATTCCTTTCTTTTAGATCCATCCCCTAGTTCTTTTGGACGAGTAACGTCGAATAATAAAAATAAGAGTATAAAAGTAAAAAAGGCAGTAATTTGCAAACGCGTATAATAGGTATCTATCTACCTTCGCAAAGTAAAAAAAAAATAGAAGTACTTAGTTTTTCGAATTTTGCATCAAAGTTTATCATTTTCTTTCACGTTTATTAATTTTTATAATAAAAATCTTTGTTGGATAACTGCTTTTTTATTTTAAGCACTGGTTTCATTTTAACAATCACAATCACAAAATCACAGACACAGCAAGAGAGCAAAGCGCAAAACGGAAACAGGAAGTTAAAACATTCAGTATTGCTAGCATCATAGGGATGCCATTACATTATTTTAAATATTACAACACCTTCTCCTATTTTTTAAGAGTTATAAAATATAACTATTACAAAATATAATATTTTTCACTTAAGTACAATATTTTTAAGTATAAATACTTCCCTTAAATGATTATTTCAAACATTTTCTCTATATGCCACTTACATATTACACAAACATTTATATAAGCTTACTTATGTAACAAAATATATTAAAAGAATCTTAATAATTAATCAATTATTTATTAAGGGTTTTGTTAGTAAAATATCAAGAAATAGACGTCTTTTTTTCTTTTTTAACATTACCTATGTTATAAGTTTTCTACAGTGTTTCTCAAACTTATTATTCGACAATGCTTTTGTAAATATATCACCTGGTTGATTCTGTCGTTTCGTGCAAATTGGAACTATTCCGCGGATTAAAAAAAATAAGCATATAGTAAATATATTTTATATGTAATAGAATTCACATTTTTAATGGATTTATAAACAGCAAAAGGCACTTTGTTTTCATATTTAGTAACTGAAATTAATAACTGGATGGTAATGAAAAAAATATTTGATTAGATGGTAATGAAAATAGAACTGATGGTAATTTTTCTAATGGATAGTAATGAAATACTTTCTAATAACTGTATATACTGTATACTAGTATGTAGGGGTTGTAATAATTTAGTTAATTAAGGAAAAAAAGAATCCGTAAAATCTCTGTTTTTATTTCTATTCAAATTATTAAAATTACAATTCAGTCTCCAAAAATCAACAATAATAGAAGAAACATTTTTACAGTTTTTATCTGATTATGTAAATGTTTCCTAGCCAAGTCGTTTCAAATAGTCCAACATAATTAGCAAATAAAACAATACTAATAATAACACTCTTAGATCTCTTATTTGTGTACTTCAAAACAATAATATTTATCTTACAAATCTACTGAAAACTTTAAAAATAATAACAAAAGAATAAAAATCTTCTAAAATGTTTAACAAAATATTGATGTACCTCACTCTCAGACTAAACAATTTAAAGTTAATCAAAATAATCCACCTTGATATTACCTGAGCCTTGGGTGCACTGAAAAACTATGAAAAACCACATACATAATTTGACGTATTTTAAGTGCGTCGGCTCGCCCCTAAAAAATATTATAATCATCACTGTCAGACTCATATCTGCTATATCCAATGCAACCTTTGTCCTTTTTATCTGAACTATTTGATTGAATATTTTTTTCGAATTCCTGTTGATGTTCATGATTCAATGTTGATCCTACGTTTTGTGGAGTTAGATTTTCCTTTGGTTTCTTATAATTTTTTTTATTTTCCCAATGGAATCGTACCTCAGATAAAATTTTGACTTTAGGAGATCTGATCAATGTCGGATATTAATCAATGGCGTAAGTTGCAAATCTATTGGATCTCTAAGAAACTCTAAGCTTTTATAAATATCTGATTCATCTAGGTTATTTAAAATTGCAGACGTACTTAAGCTTATCATGGACTCATTGTCATTTTTATTTATAGAGTTATTTTGATCACACTGAATAACTGACGCATCTTCCTCCATTTGGCCATAGTTCTCAAAATGAAGAAAGCCTAAATGATTATTATGTATACAAGGATTGCTGCTAATTTCACACTCGAAACAGCTAAGTTTTCTCAAAGCTATAGTTTTATTATAATCAGCGGACCAAATCACTTGGTGAACGTTCATTGTACCTTTAAAACCTGGAACATGAGGTTTAATTTTTTTTTCATTGATATCATTTTCTGTTATGATCTCAAAATGAACGTTTGGTATATTTTTGGTCACCAATGACCAAAAGTCTTCAAAATAACCAACATCTCCACCATATCTGACAAAACTATCAGCAGTTCTTTTTACAACTGCACCGATACCGTCTGGAGCTCCCTTCCCATGTCCAGATTCTTGATAGTTCCATGATACTTTTCTTATATTGGGGTTAAAATCTCTTAATTTTGTAATCACATAAAAAATATTCTTATTTCGATATTGGCTTGAAGGCGAATCGGACAAAAAGTGTAATGTTTCATATGGTGCCAATGTTCTAGCCATCTTCAAAATAGG